CGGCCACGATTGGGTACAGTCCAGGACCCCTCTTCCCTGGGCTTTGTGCCCCCTCCTGCACCACGGCCACGATTGGGTACAGTCCAGGACCCCTCGTTTGTTTCGTCTTCCCCGGGGTCACAGCCCATCAGTGCCTGACACCAGGTGTCTTAAAGACAGTTGTTGCGTATGTTGTGGCTGTTTTGCTTCTTGGCTGGGCGCAGAGGTCCCCTCGATTGTTTCAGAAGTGAAGTCGTCAGGGAGGGTAGGCCAGCCTGGTCACGACCCAGAGGTGGCTTCAGGCGGCGAGGGGCTTGCGTGACCCCATGCTGCGAGGTGCTCCAGTGAACTGGAAAATTCTAAAAATGGAGTACTGGTTATAAAATCAAAGACGTTCTCATAAAGGGAAAAGAAAAGAGGTCCCTCGGGAAGCAGCACTTTGCTCAAGGAGCTTGTGCACGTGGAGAGGGGCCAGTGACAGAGAGCAGGGCTGGGGGGCTCCCGAGAAGAGCAGCTAGAGGAGAGCGCCCCAGGTAAGATCTAGCTTCCTCTGTTGGAAGCAGACAAAGGAGAGAAGCCCACGCTTGGGGCTCTGGTTGTTCGTTGGTGGGGTGACAAAAAAATGAACCATGCAGTTCTGCTTTGTTGTCACCATGCCAGTGCTCGCTGAACTGAAAGTCCCGAGTGCCCATTACAGAGTGGAAGCTGGGAGAGCGAGTGAGGGAGCAGCTGCACAGCACAGGTGCGCTCCTGCAGCCCCAGCCTGGGCCGGCCCTGCCCCCCGGAGGCATGCAAGGGCGGCAGCTGGCGACACAGCCCGTCACGGGCCCCGTGGTGGGCTCTGCCTGGGGCTTTGCCTCCTGCGGTCCCTGGCAGGGCATGCAGCCGCTCGTGGGTCGTGGATGAGGTGAGCACCGCCAGGCAGGCAGACTCGCTGCAGCCCATATGGTGGCCTGTGGGCAGTGTCCTTCGAGAGCTATCGATGGCATATAGCCTCTGAGCCAGAGAACTCATCCTGAGAAGTGACTCCGGAAAAGAAAACCCGTAAGTACTGAAATGTCAGCAGCGTCATATCCGAAAGGAAGAAACTAACCGAACACCCCCTTGAGAGGTGACTGAGGAGTTACAAGCCGTGAACTCGTGGGCCGTCCCCCCGTCAGTGACGGTGTGAGCCGCGTGAGCACACGGGAGAGCGCAGCCCCGACCTGAGAAGGGTGTGCGGAAATGGGGAGACAGGCTCAAGTCGGGGCTGAAGCAGGGGTGGGCGTCATTTGCGGAGGCTGGTCGATCTCTGTCCTCAGGGTGACACATGTTCAGTGTTACCGGATTGTTTTCATGTCTGTTGCTGGGCTTTCTGGCAAAAGGCTGAACATGTTCTCACATTAACACTTACTCTTCGTCTTTTATCTTTTTAAGTCAGTTTATAAATCATATGTTTTACATGTGGTGTAAAGTGCTATTTTAGATACAGATAGCTGCTATTGAGTCAGCTCCCAATCATAGTGACCTTACGTATGACAGACAAGACCTTGCCTGGTCCTGCGTCATCCTCATAATCACCAACATGTTCAAGTCCCTCATTGTGCCCATTGTGCCAGTCCATGGCAGTGTGGGTCTCTGCCCTAGTTGGCCCTCTGCTTCACCAAGTATAATGTCCTTCTCCAGCAGTTGACCCCTTCTGATGACATGTCCAAAGCAAGTGAGTCAGGCAGTGTTCTGTTGTGATCCATAAGGTTTTAATTGGCTGACTTTCGGACGTGGATTGCCAGGCCTTTCTTTCTAGTCTGTCTTAGCCTGGAAGCTCCCCTGAAACCTGTCCACCATGGGTGACCCTGCTGGTATTTGAAATCGTGGTGGCGTAGCTTCCAGCATCATAGCAACACGTAGGTCACCACAGTATGACAAACTGACGGACGGGTGGTGGTCTTATTTTATATAGGCCTTTATAAAATAAATTTTTAATTTTATTAAATTGGTGTTTTTCAAATCTTACACAATTATTGCCCTATGTTGTGATTATAACACTTATGAGTATAATTTAAAAAAAAAAATAGAATAGTATCCCCGAATGTTAATGTGTTGTACTCTTATAAAAACCCAATAAAAGGTTTACATATAGAAAAAAAGTCTTCTATGGTTATGAGGGAAGGAAGGGGTGGGAGGGAGGGGAAATCACTAACTAGGTAGTAGGTAAGTGTCAACTTTGGTGAAGGGAAAGACAACACACAATGTATGGGAAGTCAGCACGACTTGGCCAAGGCAAAGCCATAGAAGCTTCCTAGAGACATCCTAACACCTTGAGAGGACCAAGTTACTGGGGCCGAGGGCTGGGGACCATGGCCTTAGGGGGCATCTAGGTCAGTTGGCTGAACGTAGTTCTTAAAGAAAATGTTCTACATCCCACTTTGGTGAGTGTCTGGGGTCTTAATAGCCTGCGAGCGGGTATCTAAAATACATCTGTTGGTCCCATCCCATCCGGAGCAGAGAATGAAGAAGACCAAAGACCCGAGGAAAATATTAGCCCAAAGGACAAATGGACCACATGAACCACAGCCTCCACCAGCCTGAGCCCAGAAGAACTAGATGGTGCCTGGCTGCCACCACCAACTGCTCTGACAGGGATAACAATAGAGGGTCCCGGACAGAGCGGGAGAACTACGTAGAACAGAACTCAAATTCACAAAAAAAGACCAGACTTACTGGTCTGGCAGAGACGGGAGGAGCCCCCGAGACGGTGGTCTCTAGAACCTGCTGACTCCGAACTGAAGCCACTCCCGAAGTGCACTTTCCAGCCAAAGACCAGACAGGCCTGCGGAACGACAGCTCGCGAGTGACGTGCTTCTTGGTTGTGTTGCATGTATGAAGCCAGCTGGACAGCACCTGCCCGATAGTGAAGACGAGAAGGCATGGGCGGACAGGAAACCTGGACAGATGAACGCCGGGAACCTGGGGGGTAAAGGGAAGGAGGGAGATGCCAGCAGGTTGCAGGGATTGCAACCGTCACAAAACAATTTGTGTATAAATTTTTGAATCAGAAACTAATTTGCCTTGTAAACTTTCACCTAAAACACGATAAAATTTTTTTTAAAAATGTACTGTGCTTAGGGTGGTATACCTCTGGATGACTTTTTTTTCCCTATTTTTAAAATATCATGTACTATGGTGTTCCCTTTATATATTAATATTTAAAAGGGAAGTATCCTTCTAGAGTCCTGGTCTCTGGTGAAATGCAAAGCCACTTCCCACTTGGTCTCTGATGGAACTGCAGTGTCCACGGGGATGTGCAATCACGCCTCCTGACATCCCCTCCTCATCCAGACACCAGTGGACACTCCTCCATGAGTGTGTGTGTGTGTCCACCAGGTCATGCTTTTGTGGCTGCAGACCACGCTCATGGGTCTCCTGTGTCTCTCGCTAGGAGGAGAACATCTGCCTGCACTGGGCAGCATTTTCAGGCTGCATGGAAATCGCAGAGATCCTGCTGGCCGCCAAGTGCGATCTTCATGCCGTCAACATCCATGGGGACTCGCCGCTGCACATCGCCGCCCGGGAGAACCGCTACGAATGTGTCGTGTACGTGGCCGGTCACTCGTTGACCACTCAGGGCTCTTGTGGATCCCCCTGGACGGTGGATGCACCCTCTGCTCCCAGTGGTGGGGGTGCCCCTGGGTGTCCAGGGAAGGCCCCTACACAAACAGAGGAGGTCCCTGGTCATTTCACATTTGAACTCAGCTACTGTTTATTTCTGGTTTGGGGAAGTCATTGTGACAAACCCCAAGTATTTATGCCCAACGTGTATCTCAGACCCCACACCTCCCACCCAAATGGTGTGGGCGGTGGGTCAAGCTTGTGGGGGCTGGGGCCCGGCCTCCACGGGGAGAACGAGACGCATTGTCATGCAGCTGCTGCCAGCTCCAGAGCTCTTCAAATTTAGGGGCTTAACCCCTACGTGATGTCAGAGCCACATACATCACCTTCTTCCCACCTGTCATTCATGCCACGTGATTTGAGTCCTGGATACCGTCTTTGTTCTACTTCTAGGAAGACACCTGGGGCCGCTGGTCCTAATTAGGGGCAGGGGCAGAGCCAGACTGAGCCTTTGCTCAGGTAAATCCTCCTCCTCACTGCACACGAGGATCCTGCTGGTCTTGACCCAAGCACCTGGGCTGGGTACACAGGATCCTGGGCAGGGCTGGGTACACAGGATCCTGGGCAGGGCTGGGCAGGGGGGCTTGGGCCTACACCCTTCTCCACACAAGCCCATCTGGGAGACGACCCTATCGAGCCCAGACCCAGGACCTAGCGGCCTCAGGTGGAGACAGCAGCTGGGTTCATTGCAGCCTGAATATTCCGTTTCTATCCCTGAGGGCAAATTTGAATGAAGAATCCAAATAGCAAGCCCAGTTATTTACAGGCCCTTCTGCTAAGAAAACTAAGAGAAGGCTTTTGCAGTGAATGTGGGGGAGGAGTAATGAGGTGTGTTTTGGAGTGAGTTACAGCTCCTCTTTTCCAAATTATTGCTCAGCCAGTTTGCCGAAGTTATTTCGGAATGAATGGTGTGTTCTCTTTGTTTACTGATCGTGGTCATTTTGTAAATCTCATCATTAAGTTTTTTTACAGTGTCCTATTGGCCTACATATTTTCTTTCAGCCTCTTCCTTTCTTGGGACTCTGACATCACCTTGAAGAACAAGGAGGGCGAGACACCCCTGCAGTGTGCGAGCCTCAACTCCCAGGTGTGGACGGCCCTGCAGATGAGCAAGGCCCTTCGAGACTCGGCACCGGACCAGCCCGCCCCAAAGGAGCGGATGGTGAGCAGGTGAGCGGGCCGAGCCGGAGATGCCCTGCACGTGGCGGCTGCTATAGCAGACGGTAAACGGGGTAGGGGGTTTGCAGTGGGGCTTCTCTTTAAAGTGGACAGAGCTGAAGGTCCGGGCCCGGATCCTTCTGCTAGGTGTGCTTTGGCTCCCTCATGCTCTTTGGCTCCCTCGTATTTTGGGCAAACCCTATAACAGCGAAAGGTGTGTTCTCCCACCTGTGCAGAGACATCGCGCGGGGCTATGAACGCATCCCCATTCCCTGCGTCAACGCGGTGGACAGCGAGCCATGCCCCAGCAACTACAAATACGTGTCTCAGAACTGTGTGACGTCCCCCATGAACATCGACAGGAACATCACTCACCTGCAGGTCAGGCGTGCGGGAAGGAGGGAGGGCTCCAGGTTCTCTCCATTCCAAAGTGCCGAGTTTTGGGGGATTTTCCAGGAGACCCATTCTCTCAGCACTTACCTCCAGTAAAGAGTTGAGAGCCAGCCATTGGAGGGCAGATAAGGAAACTTCCAGAACAGCTAGTCCTTTCTAAGCACGGCCCTGGACTCTTTCAGTTACTCTCCAGAGGGTCTTCTCACCCAGCACCCTAGCACCGCCCGAATGTCTGCAGGGGTGACGACTGGTAGGCACCGTGTTTGGTCGCCCTGGCTAGCTTGCACTGCCAGTCCCATCTGGTGCACGAGAAACCCGTGCAGGACAGTGATCTGAGGGCAGCACAGGGCAACCGGGCCGGCGAGCAGTGCTGCGTCCCATCACTTGACATGTCCCCCCATGCGCCTAAGTAAGGGTTTGCAGGAGCCCTGCCTGCTTCACTCATCACAGGAAAGAATGCTGTCCTCTTCTCTCCTCACAGCACTGAGCCCTGTCTCCCTCCCTCCTTCACAGCACCGAGCCCCATCTGAGCCCCGTCTCCCTCCCTCCTCAGGGCACTGAGCCCTGACTCCTTGGCATTTCCGTTTAGTAACAGGCCTTGAATCCAGACTGGACTGTTTCTAGCTCCTCTCTAGGGTCGTGCTCCCCCTTGCCCGTTCACCCTCCACCGTGCCTCATCCTTTGCAGTGCATCCCTCTCCTGCCCTCTCCTTCCCCCAGCGGGCACTCAGTGTCTCGCCCTTCCCCCTGGGAGACTACAGTCTCCTTGCGTGTCTTGAGATGGGGCAGTAGCACACATCTGTGTAAGAGATGAGTCATTAAGGGCCAATGGAAATTGTGCAGGTGTGGGCCCGGGAGAACGGGCTGGGGAGGGGGCATGGGCGTGGGAGAATGGGCTGAGGAGGGGGCGGGGGCGCGGGAGAACACTCTGGGGCGGGGGTGCAGGAGAATGGGCTGAGGAGGGGGCTGGGGCGCGGGAGAATGGGCTGGGGTGGGGGCTGGGGCATGGGAGAATGGGCTGGGGCAGGGACGTGGGTGAACGGGCTGGGGCGGGGACGTGGGAGGACGGGCTGGGGCCGGGGACGTTGGAGAATGGGCTAAGGAGTGGGTGTGGGCGCGGGTGCGAGTGGCTGCCTGCTGTAGCCGCCCTCCCTCTTCCCGCAGTACTGCATTTGCATCGATGATTGCTCCTCCAGTAACTGCATGTGTGGCCAGCTCAGCATGCGCTGCTGGTATGATAAGGTAGGTGAGCTGATCAGGCTGGAGCCAGAGTCCCGTCTGGTTCAGGGGCCTCCACAGCGTTGGGGGGCATGGGGGTGAGCTCACCGTGGAGACCAAGTGAGGGCAACAGACAGGAAGTGAGATCCTGATGGCAATCACGGAGTGAAGCCGTGGGTTCTTAGGTCGTTAAGAGGCGTGACCTGCTCCTTTGTGGCTGACTGGACTGTGATGGGGGGGTATTGTCTGTTCTTCCCAGAGGTGGGGTGAGGTGTCCGTCTGTTTCCCCAGGTGGTGGGTTGTCCGTCCACGCCAGTAGTGGGGATGGGCGTCCGTCTGTCCTCCCTGGTGGTGGGGGTGGAGCGTCTCTCACCGGACAGTGGTGCGTCCCACTGAGCTGGGGCCGCAGGAAGAAAAGGTGTCTGTCGCTCGTTTGAAGGATTGCTGCTCTGTGCTTGTCGCATCAGGCTGGCCGCGCGAAGAGGGTGGACGTGCACCCACCCCCCAGGGAGGGAAGCCAGGCAGTGGTGGCGCTGCAGAGAGGGCGCTGGGCATGGGCGGCATCCAGGAACCCAGCGCATGCCACACCCCAAGGGCGTCAGGGAGAGAGCGTCCAGCAGCTGAGAGCCGTGGTGGTCTGTGGTTTGGGGTGATCTGTGGTTTGGAGTGCCCCGAGGTCATCTGGGGGAGCAAAGCAGGCTGACAGGGTGAAGGGGAGGTGTGGGTCCAGCGGGCACAGGCGATTCTCCGCAAAAGCGGATGTTCAGGGAGCTGGAACAGCACACGGAAGGGGAGCCGTAGGGGCGGCGTGGCCTGTGTTGTTCTGAGCGAAACGGCGGCCTCTGCAGAGCAGGGGTGCAGTGGGGAGAGGGGTGGTGGAGGGGAAGCTGGCTGCGTCCCTCCAGAGTTCACAAGGCTGCAAGGCCAACAGCTGGGTCCAGATGGTGGTGAGGGACCTGGTGGTCTCAGTGGGTGACCAGAGGAGGAGCCAGGGGAGGGGTCTGGGAGCCCTTAATGGGCTGTGAGAGCACTGGTGAGGGCGTGAGGGAGCAGAGGAGTCGGAGGGCTAAGTTGCGGACAAACCGCAGGTCCTTACACCGTCGTCAGCAGCTCTGTGGGGTCTGGTTTGAGGCTTTCTATCTTAACCCTGAGTCCCCAGGTGCTGGTTTGACTAGAAGCAGTCGTTCTGATGTCAGTCGAGACCATGCAGGGTGCTCTGTGGGAACTCGTGTCGGTGGGTTCAGGAACAGCAGCCAGCAGCACCAAGTGTGTGTCTCTCCCCAGGATGGCCGCCTGCTGCCAGAGTTTAACATGGCAGAGCCGCCTTTGATCTTCGAGTGCAATCATGCCTGCGCCTGCTGGAGGAACTGCCGCAACAGGGTTGTGCAGAACGGTCTCAGGTGAGGCCTGCCCGGCTGGGCTGGACCTTGAGGCTGCAGTGGGACGGGGAGGTGGGGCGGAGGGAGCACCGGCACCGAGGGGCATCGGCCGCGGGAGAAGTGGGCCCGGAGGGAATCAGCGCAGGGCGTGCGCATGACCCTCCACCGCAGACCGGCCCCCACTCACTCTGGGCATTACAGCTTAAGCTTCAGAGCTCGGATGTCACCCCCGGAGACCCACATGGAGTTTAGAATTTTAATCCCTTTACTAAAGGGTAATATCAAGTGTCTGTGTGTTAAAAGTGTGAAAAGGATTCAAGTTCCTTGAGAAGTTCACTGTATCCAGGCACGTGTGTGTTTCACAGACAGGAAGATGGTATATTTACCTGTGTACGTGTGTGCGCGCGCACCCACGTGAATGCGTACAGCTAATGACGCACTTGTAACCATTCATTCTCTAGAAATGTCACATATACCTTAAATTACAAAATAATTGCTTTTTACCACCTTAGACTTAAATTTGATACTTTTAACTTTAGGCTTGAAAGAAGGAACACACTGGATCTTTTGAACTAAAACAGAAAGGGACTTGGAGTGGAAATCACTGATGTTACCAAGTTCACACATACAGCATACATTCTTCAGCTGACTGGGGTTATTGTAATTCCTTTTTAATGCTCAGATCATATTTACATCGTCTCTATTCTTTGCGTCCCTTAATGACATTTTGATGGTGTTAGGAGACTCACCTTTCTCAATGAAGGCTTGACGCTGCTTCAGGGGCCTTCACCTGGGGCCCTGAACCCCACGTTCTGGTCATGAGCCTATTCCTCCCCGTGTTCTGGTGATAAGAGATCTGGAACCTAGTTATGAGGAAGACAGTGACGTATGCTAGTAACCAGAGAACAGAGGGCCGGCGCTGAGCCCAACCTCCCTGTCCTCGGTGTACAGCAGACAGTGTAGGGGGCGGACAGAGGACAGACCACACCTCCCGCCTTGGGACCTGGACCCTACACGTCATAGGAAGAGCCTGAGCAGCACATGAGGCTCCCATGAGGCCACAGGCTTCCTGGGCCACGTCCTGCATGGTCCTGGGCTCCTAAGAGGCTGCACTCAGAGCACCATCCCAGGGGTGGTCTGGGGCCTGTGTGCCTGTCCCTGAAAGCTCTGCCCAGGAGTGTTTTGCCAGAGGTTGGAGGAGCTCTGCTGTCTGTAGTTCTGTCACCGTTGCTGTGTGTCTATCTGCCCCTCACTGTGGGCTCACTGGCTCCTGCACAGCTGTTTGGTGTACAGCAGAGATGGGGACCCACGGTGCATGATGTGGTCCTTGTCCTCGCTAAGATGTACTGGGCCCTGTGCACCCATGGGCGTGAGCCATTTAACACTTTGCACGCTCACATGCGTGAGCAAGTGCCCGAGTCACGTGATTTGCTCCGAGGCCTTTACTTAGCATCACAGGTGAAGTTCTAAAGTGGTTCCAGACGCAAAACTCCTGCTTCCCGTTCCCTTACTTACGTCACTCGTGTCGATGGTGGGATTACGAGACCCCTGTGAGCACAGACCGCGCCGTGCACACAGCCTAGTGTGAGGCGACTCTGCAGGCATGCCAGCCACTCACCCACTCTCTGTCTCCAGGACTCGGCTCCAGCTCTACCGGACACACAACATGGGCTGGGGCGTTCGGGCCCTGCAGGATATCCCGCTGGGTACCTTCGTCTGCGAGTACGTGAGTCCCAACCCTCTCGTGGGCAGTCTCTGGGGACAGCCAGATAGTTTGGGGGACCACAGAAGGCGGGAGCAGAATTGCAGCCTGCATTCAGGACACTGGGGGGCTTCCCGGGGTACCATGGGGACGTGGGCTTGGTGGGGTTACAAGGCACAGCCAGAGTGGGCGGGATCCGGACTTTGGCATGTGGCCCTGGCCCCACACTCAAGAGACCACAAGCGCTCTTCCAGCAAGACAGCGAGCTGGATGGCTGGTGGCTCTGGATGTTTGTGGTGGGGCCTTGGTGACTGGCCCTTCTCAGTTGTGCTGTCCCTGAGCCTGGCTGTCCTGTCTCACATCCATCAGCTGAGTAGTCGGTTACAGGTCTGTCCTCCCAGGGTGGGTGGATCTCGCTGTGCCAGCCTCTCTTAGCAGTCTTGGCAGAGGACTGGGACGGCAGGGGGCGCAACAGGTAGCCTTCCGTGCATGACTTGGGGAGAGGGGCAAGTGAGCAAGGGAGAGCCATGCACTCTCAGCCTGACTCCCAGGATGGGTAGGGACAGAGTGTTTTCCTTCAGTGGAAATACCAAAGACCCTTGTGTTCAGAATTTTTCCGATAAGCTTTTCCCTTTTGTCTGTGGTTCAAAGCAGCACGTGCAGGCTCCTCTCTTGGTTTCCTTCCTGTCTTTGCCTCTAAAAGTAGCCAGAGGCACCCTTGCTGTCCTCTCTGGGTGTGGGCAGTGAGCGGCTCCCCTGCAGCTTGGCCTCCAGCACCTTTCGGTGGCAGGCGAGGGGCCCTCCAGAGAGGGCGGTTCGGGCTGCGAGCCCAGTGCCTCGGGGTGCCCTGACCGCTCCCAGCACCTCTTTTGCTGCAGGCCTCTGCACCGCTCAGGCCCCTCACCTTGCTCACTTCACGGTGCGGGCGTTTTTGTCTCCTCACAGCGCGTGAGTGTGTGAAGAGACCCGCCAGCACTGGTGGTTGTCTTCAGTGGGGGGACAGTTCCTGACTCCTAGTCTCCCATATTGCCAGACGCAAGTTTCTGTATGACTGTTACTGTTCTTTCCATCTAGCTAAGTCCTGTTCAGTCACAGGCAAAATTCTCTAAAAATACTTGGTCAACGTGGTTTTTGGGGTCCGCTACACTCCCGTGGTACTTTGTTCATGCATTCATTCAGTGACCGTTCAAGGCGGGAGGCAGCAGCTACCTCACGCACACCTCGCCTCTCCCTGCAGGTACGTCGGGGAGCTTATCTCCGACTCCGAGGCTGACGTCCGGGAAGAGGACTCTTACCTCTTTGACCTTGACAACAAGGTACAGTGCTCGGGTTGGGGCATAAAGGCTGATTATGTCAGACCTGAGAATGTCTGATTTTGCTGTGGGGTACTGCGTTGGCTGCTTGTCGCTGACGGGTGACTACTCCTGCTTTCTCATGAACCTTGTCGGCTTCAGTGCTGGCCCTGTGCTGAGGTCAGGGCACCAGGGCGTCTTCCGCGGGGACCCTGGCCTCGGGGCCCCAGGGCACATACAGCAAACAGCTCACCCCCAGTTCACGCACTTTCTGAAAAGCAGGCAGACCATCCAGGGCTTTTTGAAAACTACTGGAATATCTTACAATGCATTTTAAGTCCCTGTTATGATCAGTTAAGTTCATAAGGGTAGGCATTCAAATTGTGGTGTTAGACGAAGAATATTGAATATACTGTGGACTGCCAGAAGAAGGAACAAATTAGTTTTAGAAAAAATAGAAGTAGAGGGTCAGAGAAAACGAGGGAATCCCTCCATGAGGTGGATTGACACAGTAGCCACAAGCGTGGGCTCACACGTACCAATGATCATGAAGATGGTGCAGGACTGGGCAACATTTTGTTCTGTCATGCATGGGGTCAGCATGAATCAGAGCCGACTTGATGGCACCTGACAACAACAGATAGTCGTTTGCCCCGGCAGGCGGTCATGTGTATTATATGAGGCAGTGGTGGTTCAGTGGTACCATTCTCATCTTCCATGTGGAAGAGTGAGTTTGATTTCCGATGAATGCATCTCAGGCACAGCCACCACCCGTCAGTAGAGGCTTATGTGTTTATGTGATGCTGAACAGGTTTCAGCAGAACGTCCAGACTAAGACGATCTGGGAAGAAAGGCCTGATGATCTTTCAAAAATCAGCCACTGAAGATGCTTTGGATCTCAGTGGTCTCATCTACAACCAATTCTGGGGATGGTGCAGGACGGGGCAGTGTTTCGTTCTGTCGTGCATGGGGTTGCCATGAGTTGGGGCCGACTTGATGGCAGCTAATAATAGCATACATTAAAGTTTCTAAGGAATATTGCTAATATTACTACTAACAGGAACCACCAGTATATGGGTTGAAGGACGTTTGTGATTTCTTTGCAGTTTTTGGTTGTCAGCCTATATTCCACTATGGGTGTTAAATGAATAACTTCTTTTATAAGGATCAGCACAAAGCTGGTTCCTATGAGGCAGAGGTTAAAGATGTCCCAAATGTCCAACTTTTTCAAACTGCTGTACCATACCATCATCTCTAACATCTAACATTCTCTCCTGCCCCTCGGTACTCTCCTTCCCATTTTTGGGTTCCATAATCTGCAACATCCACAGAACTAATGAACCATATCAAGGAAATGGCTCACGTGGTTGTGGAGGCTGGCAGTCCCAAATCCATGGGTCAGGCATAGGGTTCTTGTGACTCATGTGGCCACAGAGGCCAACAAACCCAAATCAGCAGGCCAGATGACAGGCTGCTGGCCCACAAGGCTGTGGAGGCTGGCGGTTCAGGTCAGACGACACGACAGGCTGCTGGCTCACAAGGCTGTGGAGGCTGGCAGTTCGGGTCAGACGACAGGCTGCTGGCCCACAGGGCTGTGGAGGCTGGTGGTTCGGGTCAGACAACAGTCTGCTGGCCCACAGGGCTGTGGAGGCTGGAGGTTCAGGTCAGATGACAGGCTGCTGGCCCCCAGGGCTGTGGAGGCTGGCAGTTCAGGTCAGACGACAGGCTGCTGGCCCACAGGGCTGTGGTGGCTGATGAATCCCAGAATCAGCAGGTCAGATGGTTGGCTGCTGGCTCAAGTCCCAAGAATTGGAGGCCAGACAGCGACAAGCCAGATGCAGGCTCCAGTTGCAGACAGAGGGAGCTCCCCCCGACCCTGAACACTCACATACTTTGGATGCAGGCCACACACCAGGGAAGGGCATGACTTGGGTAAAGGTGGGACTTGAGTCACTCTGTCCTGCAAGGCTGTGACTCAGGATAACACCCCACACCAGTCCCGCCTCATTAACATGTAGGGGTTAGGATTTACAGTACATATAAAGGAGGATAATTAGAATAATTACATCAAATCACAAAACGGAGGACAGCCGTACCATACTGTAATCATGGCCTAGCCAAGCCAACACACAACATCAGTCATCACACCTCATACACCTTATTTGCATGGTCCCACCCAGCTATTGTGTCAGAGCCTCAAAGACTGTGGCTAAAGGGCCATATTAAGTAACTGCACCTCAGGCATACAAACCTCTGTAGGTTGTAGTACTTGAAGTAATTGTTGCTCTGATATATAATTAGATACATATGTTTTAGTTCATTTCCAATTTTAGGATTGACTTTTTATTCCATTTGTATTTTGGTTAAGAGTAAACAGCATATAAAAAGGGTATGTTGGAAGCATTGCTTCTGTCCGTGTCCTCTGCCCCCACCCCAACAAGTAACCGTTTACAGACATTAAGTATGTATTTCTCATTTCTTCCCCCTTGCACAAGAGGTGCTGAGGTGCTGTGCCCACGGTGGTGTGAGGCACCTGTCTGTGGGTGGTGGAGGAAGGGCCTCGTGCGGCCACAGCTTGGGCGCATGCCGAGTCCCCGTGTGCTGCCTTTGCTGTTCTCTCTGCGCTGCCTTGGAGAGTCCTGTGATGGTATCACAGGACTCGGCTCATCCCAGGCCGCCCAGCTCCCCCGACCCTGCTCCTGGGCTCTGGGGAGCATCCATTGCTGCCCAACAAGCTCAGTGGCCAGAACAACAGCCGCCCTCCGCCTACAGCTCTGTGCGCAGAGCGTGGTGCTCCTTCAGGACCCACGGGCTGGAGCCAGGTGTCGCCCCCCACCGTCAGCACAGCCCTTCTTCTCACCTGCTTGATGGCCCTGTTGCCGCTCCAGGCTCCATGTCTCTGGGGCACTCTTGTGTCCGGAGCATCCTCATTGGGACCAGCCGCTGTGAAGTGAGCAGGTAGCCTTCTGGTCATCCCGTGGATTGTGACAGCACCATGACAGCGTGAGCTGGTGGTCCTGGGGCATCAGGCGGCATTGCCTGGGGCAGTGCTCCCAGCCCAGGTGACTCATGCCCACGTGGGGATTGTCTCCTAGACCGGGCACCCTCGTTTGGGGTGCAGTGTGTGCCCGTTCACACCAGCCACCCCGGGGCTGTGGAGTGGGTGGGGCACCGTGGGGCACCGGGCCTGCTTGGGACGAGGTCCCTAGGTGGAGCCCCCGGCTCAGCCGTGCTGAGCGCCCTCTCCCGCAGGATGGAGACGTGTACTGCATCGATGCGCGCTTCTACGGGAACGTCAGCCGCTTCATCAACCACCACTGCGAGCCCAACCTGGTTCCCGTGCGCGTCTTCATGTCCCACCAGGACCTGCGCTTCCCCCGTGTTGCGCTCTTCAGCACCCGCCCCATTGTGGCCGGCGAGCAGCTGGGGTAGGTGCTGTGGGGCGGACAGCGGGGGAGGGTGGTGAGCACATGGGGAGGGGCCTGAGGGGGTACCATGTATATGGGGGGGTTGGGGGTACACTGTGTATGTGAGGGGCGCATGGGGGTACCGTGTGTGTGTGTGTGAAGGGGGGATGGGGGTACCGTGTGTGGGGGTACCCGTATGTGGGGGGGGCACGGAGTACTGTGTGAAGTGGGGTGTGAGTGTACTGTGTGTATGAGGGGGCATAGGGGTACTATCGGGGGGCATGGGGTACTGTTGGGGAGGACATGGGGTACTGTGAGGGTGGCATGGGGGTACTGTGTGTGTGGGGGGGCATGGAGGTACCATATGTGGGG